TACGCAAAGCACTTTCCTCTATTAAATCGAAAGTCGTTGGATGTGATGATGTGAGTAGGGTAATGGTTTTGCACGTGCTGGATTCTGTTTTACCCGTGATAACTCATATAATTAACTTTTCGCTTCCGGTGCTTTTCCAACTCTCTGACGTAAAGCCTTTATTATTCCCATCCCGAAATCTACTGAATGCAGCGTTTTATCTAATTTCAGACCAATTTCTATTCTGCCTTTTCTTTCTAAGGTTCTGGTTGCTCATAAACAGATTTCTTCTTTTGTTTTCTCAAAGAATATTCTTTCCCCTTATCAGTCTGGTTTTCGCCCGGGTCCTTCTACAACTACTGCTCTTCTCAAGGTTACGGAAGATATTCGTGAGGGAATGGAAAAATCAAAACTGACCGTTCTCATCTTAATTGATTTTTCTAATGCATTTAATTCTGTCGATCATGATATCTTGTTAGCTCTTTTTTCTCATTTGAATATCTCGTCTTCAGCTCAGGAATAGTTCTCAACATATCATCGAGGGCGCCAACAGGCTGTGCGTACTGGTCATATACTATCTGACTGGTGTGATGTGTTAATTGACGTCTCTCAAGGCGGTATTATGTCCCCTCTTCTGTTTTCCATTTTTATAAATCTCATCACACTAAATCTCAAGAGCTCTTACCATTTGTATGCTGATGATCTGCAGTTGTATGCGCAAGTGGAACCTTCAAATATCCTTAGTGCTATCTCAATGTTAAATGATGATTTGAAATATATCTCAGAATGGTCTACTGTGTTTGGCATAAACGTGAACCCATCTAAATGCCAAACGATAATCTTAGGTAGCTCAAGATTATTATCTAAACTAGATATTCCCACCCTACCATCAATTATGTTTAATAATAATGTCATACCATTGTCTACAAGTCCGTAAGTATATGATTAAATCGTTTTTGAATTAACTCTGCTCTTTTTTTCGTATACATTTCATATTTGTTCCGACATAGATAACATTTATACGAACTTATTGTGTGTACCTATATATATATATTTATCCTCTCTATTTGAATATTGCTGCACCGCCTTCATAATGTTCTATCTCTGTTTAGCGTAATGGTTGACTGGGAGAGATGCCCTATGGCATTAAGTCCGCCATATGTACTTTTTATGCATGAAAGTATAAATAAATAAAAAAGGAAAAAAAAAACAGAGACAGACGGAACTTTATAATGGTTGTAGTACAAAAGGATCAGCTCGATCGGAGAAGGAACACGCTCTCAAATAATACTAACGCAAATAGCTTCGTAGTGCATGGGCTTAGTACAGTATCTTGCGCGCACTGACAGACCGTTGGGACTCGCCGATGCTTGCTCGAAGGATGCGGCTGTACGCAGTCAAGTAGTCATCTTGCGGGCAGGGCCGGGTGCCATGTTTGTTTGTGTGCTTTGTCTGTGTTTTATGTTATATGTTTTGTGTTCAATTGTCAAATACGAACTTCAGTTATAAGCTCTAAAAATTGTTAGTAAACTATATGGATCATGATGTCCGAAATAAACGCTTATTATTATTATTAATAATAGTACTTAGTTCTGCGGGATTGGAACTCGCAGCGCTGAGTACTGCAAGTTCCAATCCCGCAGGGAATAAGTATTTACATGGCCTATAAATATTCGATCTGGGTTTGGATGTTTGTTCTTACAAAATGTAAACTGCACCCACGATACAGAAAAAATCCCTGTGTGACGTAAGGTATGCATTACGTTTTATAAAAAAATGCAGTGTAAGCTTGTAGTGCTTCATGCGGTAAGTGTTGTGAACCGGAGAATCTATTCACCCGCAACCGTAGCTTTTTTTATTTATAACGAAGATGTTAGCTGCCCAGCTCCTGTTTTGTTTCCCACTGTTGCTTCTTACGACGCTAATAAAGGTACGTGTGTGATACATAGAAATCACAAAAAATGTTACAGCTTGTACGTATTAGTGTTGTGTTAAATGAGTAGGGTTAACCACATTTTATATCAACAACGAATTATTAATTTAGCCACACCTGTACAGGACTTTTTGAATTAAGAGAAGTAATGATATTGAGCTAAAATATCTTTATTTACTTTAGCTGTTCTCATTTCAGAATCAAAGCATAAACAAACGCAACACGTATAGTTGGAGCTGAACTGAGCCAGTTCCTGCCACTGCTGACTGCACTCAACCCTCATCGTGAACGTTAATATCCGTTGGAAGCAGAGGCGGCGTAAGGCGTGGGCGACGCGGGCCACAGCCTACGGCCTCGCGATCCAGGGGGCCTCGCACCCTGGAGGTTTATGAATTACTTAAAACCGTAAACGCGCCGAAAAAATTTCATGGTCATGAATCGATATTATTGACTTAACTAAATATGTTTTTATTCAGTCTAGCAACATTAGATTACGTTGCTATTGCTGGGAATCTTCGCTGCGGGGGCGACCAGTATATATACAGTAATCTATGGGGGGCGACAAAGATCGAGGATTCCCCGTTCTGTTTGTTAGACGTAGAATACTGACTTTATTTAATCGTGGGCGCGTGGCAATCGGGTAAAGCAGCCCACGTGGTTGCTGTACGTACATTTTCGCGCTGTACGCACATGAGTAGATAAACGGAACATACACAAAGCTCCTTAAGAACTTGCAAAATTGTTACCTATGTTACCTATTTTGTTAGGGTTTTCACCATAGGTGAAGACAAATTAAAGCTCTTCAACGTTTACGTACCTTTTGTTACTGGATTAAGGAATATCGATAGACTTGTTTCGAAAAATGTTTGTCTGGTATTTAACAGTTTATTGAAAAAAATTGTTATAATACGCCAAGAGACTTTAAAAATAAAAGAGTAACCAAAAAGAAAAAGATGTTGGATTATGAAGGCAAGGATTAACCTATATAATCTCCTAAAAGTCGGTATTAAACAGATTTTTTCAACACCATGCTTGTTCAATTACAACAAATTTGGATTTGAGATCTATGGCTTAAACCTACATTATGAAAATTTCGGTTTACTTTGTGATTTAAACAAGTTAAAAAATAATTCCAAACCATCTAATATTAAAATAACTGTCAAGATTTAAGAACACAGCCCTGCGAGTGGGTGAAAGCAGTGACTTCCAATTTCAACCTTACGAATTATATGAAGAATTACAATTAATGATCTCTAATTTACCTAACTTCGTAACAGATGTGAAACAGCTTCTCCAATATGTTACAGAAAATAATTTAAAAAAATATACCCAAACATTTACATCGTCATTTAACAATACCGATCAGTACAGCCTCCGCTGAAGGAAGCTTCTTAATTATTATTATAATATTCTTAATAATTATTATAATATTCTTAATAATTATTAATAATTAGTACTCATTAAAAATTATCTCAGGAATGCATTGTCACAGAAGACTTTCAGCGTTGAAAGTTTTATCTATCGAGGCAGATATAGCATCCAAGCTGGATTATGAGGCTATAATTATACAATTCAGCAGGATAAAAAGCAGAATGTCTATTTCTTCATTTTTGAAATTGTTTGGTGTTGGTACTTAATGATTTTGTAAAAATAAAAATTTCATAATGTCAGGTGCTTTGTTTTTCATTTTATATAATCCGTCTTCTTGCGCGGGCAGAGGGCCTCGCAAAATGTATCTTGCCCACATAAAATTTAGGTCTTACGCCGCCACTGGTTGGAAGCCAACAACATTAAGTTTAAGCACCATAGTCTCGCATGGTTTACTTGTTAGTAAGTTAGTTAAGTTAATGTTAAATGCAACATATTACAGTTTGCTACTACGAGATTAAATTTTATTATAATTCAACATGTTATAGATTGTAAGTTGTCTTGACCTGGGAAAGGCCACGGTCACACAGAATATCAAATATCAGCGTCAAATAGCAGCTGGATACTGCAGTGTTTGGTATGGTGGATAGATGTAGATGCTAATGGACCATAGCATCCACTTACTAGGTAGACCATGTGCTGGTTTTATACCCTATTTCTTTAAAAAAAATAGAAGTTATTACTAATTAGTCTGTCGCGCTGAAATACACTCGTTTCCTTAATATTTTATTACTTTTAAATGCAATTCTCACGTTTTTTTTATAAACCAGCACTTTTTTTTTTCAAATTGACAAACGATCTTACGGTCCACCTGATGCTAAGTGGTTAATGCAGTCCATGAAAACCTGCAGCCATCTTCAAAAAAGAAAGGTTACTGATGCGTTGTCACCTTTAAGGACTCAGATGGAATGTCTAACAGCCTGTAATTGTACTCGCTCTTTATAATCAACGGAATACCAGCATTACTATTTGGCAACAAAATAAGTAAGATTGTGATGCATCTATGCAAAAGTAGTGTGCGACGCATCCCGACTAGATGGAGTGTCGGTCTGAGCAAGGTGGCCGGTAGAAACTGGATGTGTGTAGCCAAAGACCAACCTAACCAGCTCGCCTTGGGAGAGGACTATGTGCAAAAGTGGAGAGCCGCAGGCTGATTATGATGCTGCTATGATACTTACTCAGACGAATTCTTAGTCAGAAAAGGGGTTCTACAAAGTAGTGGACGGAGGACGATTTTAAGGCTGCGTTAGAATCTACTGCTGAACATAGCCATAGATTTCTCCATAAAGGGGATATTTGCCGCCGTTGCCACGCTTAGCAAAATGTTTGGCACCGCAATTTTTTTAATTTTTACCCCCTTATTCATAAACGTTATTTAACTTTAAACAACACTTTAAACTATTGTTTAAAAAAATTGGCATTCATAAACAATGATTAGAGTTAATCCGTACGCTCGATAATGGTACACATATGCCTAACACAACGCGCCTAGCTGTCAAATTAAACACCCTCATACCCTTGTTTAAAAGCTTAATCAACAAAATGGCGGAGAACAGCAATGAACAGATGATTTTTCGTGTGACAGATTTAATTGCCAAATTGCTTTGCTATTGACTTAAGTATTTTTCTACTGGTTTTGCGTGATTTTTACATTATCGTAATGGATTATTTTGATTTTGGTGACGGCTTATACAATTTTGAGCAGGATTTGTTAGATATACCAGTATATGTGCGCCCTCGAGCAAAAATACATAAGCCCAGGGTGAATCCTCTAGTGAACTATGATGCTGTAAAATTTAGGAAAAAATACAGATTTTCCAACGAAAACATGTTGAAAGTAATAAATCTCGTAAAGGATGACATAGCTGTGGACACAAGAGGTGGCGGGATACCTGTCCATATTCAAGTAATGTCTGTGATTAGGCACTGGGGGCGGCATGAGGTGAGTGCATAAATTATCTTAGAATTTATTACCTACTTGAATGAATATCATCAATATTATTTCAATGAACGATTAAGGTAGGTAGTTGTGCATCTACTGAGTTTAATTTTACATTAACAGATACATGATGACTGCGGAGAATTGCACGGCGTAAGTCAACCAACTACGTCTCGCTTCTGTAAACGAGTTGGTCGTGCATTAGCCAGTAAGAGCTCTGAATTAAAAAAAATGCCCACAACACTTGCTGAACAGAGTTGTATACAAAGAGAGTTTGCTGAGCTTTGTCGGTTTCCTCATGTAATAGAAGCTATTGACTGCACTGCACTGGTCAGTATTTTGTAAATACAAAAGGCCATTATTCTATCAATACAAAGGTAAGAATCAAACTATAACTTAAACAAAATAAATAACATTCTTTATATTATAGTTCAGCATTAACTTCAGTACTAATAACACTATTTATGAGGCTATTTGTATTTAATATATCTCATTCATTTTCAGATAGTATGTGGCCCTGACCTGACAATCATTGATTTGATTACTTCCTGATAACAACTGCGTGCGTGGCAACTATGATGCAGTATATGGGGAAGGCCTACGGTCAAAAGTGCTTGCATTGCCAGACCAGATAGACTGTATACTCATTTGTCACCCTTATACTAAGAAACATGTGGACAGTAAGATCGTTTATAACTTTAGCTTTATAAAAAGAGATGACGGTATAACTCTCACATTTATTCTCAACGTAGAAAACTAAGACCACCGACGGGGAGCACAGAGTTTAAGGTGCGAGACGTCTGTTACTGCGATCGTCGATCTGCCCGCAAAATGGTAAAGTCAATTCCTCCGAAAATGTTAAAGTAAATATCCAGCGGTATACTATGAGGAAGAAGAAGATTCAGAATGTGCAAATTAATTCGTCTATAGTGGACCATGTAGTGGCTGTGTAAGAATATCCACTATCCCATATGATAATGTGGATTTCGTAAGAGGCGATAGAGGGGAACAAATCAGGAGATGAGCAGCACTATCTTCCTAATAACTTTTTTATAGGATAGGGGGACAAACGAGCACACAGTCCATCTGATGGTAAGTGGTTGCTGTGGCCCAAATACATCTACATCTATCCTCGATCACGAATCAAAAATGCAGATGCGTTGTCACCCGTGAGGAGTAAGATGGAATGCCTCGTTTCTAATCAAAAGGGTCCCTAATTATGGTAGAGCTATATATGGTCGGTATGATTGAAGAAGGACCATGCTTGCACAAGTGTAACAATACTGCCAGCGGATTGCAGTCCCGAGATACCCTCGTCCCTGCTTTTCGAGTGAGGCTTCTCAAGCCAAAGGGGATGATTCAAGGACCCCTTAGAAGAAGGTACGAACCTTGGTTTGAACCACTATGAAATGTGGGAAATTTAGGTAGGTAATCTGCCTCCTGGTTATGTATGTCAACTGGTAATGTTTAAGGTTTAAGGGTAAGAAATATTTCCGCGTCACCTACAGGTTTGGGAAATAAGAAAAACAAATATGTTTTGAAGACACGGGAAGTTCACCAACACACATTGGGGCAGCGCGATGGATATTTCCTTGCTCTAAAACTTTTAACTGAATATTTTTAATTATTATAAGCCAGTGTTTAACCACAATCCCGTCTGGTGGTAAGTGGTGATGCAGCCTTAGATGGTAAATCGCACTGTCTTAGCGTTATAAAAGCCTATTCATTATTGCTTTGAAGACTCTTGTATATTATGTGGACGGAATGACAGACTCCGGCAAATTATTTCACTCTTTTGTTATATGCATTACAAAGTGGTGAAGACCCGCCAATCACCTGGTAGACCGATGGTGGAGAAGAAAGGAGGAATTAAAGCATTTAATTCTTGCGCACACTCCTCGAAATGCACTCTATAGAATACTGAGTGCCTGGCTACTCTGCGCTTGTGCTCGGGGCTGACAAGATTGATTTTAATCAATTCAGGGTTTTTGCAGCCAGGCGTTGAAATTGAATTCAAACCTTCAAAATCGCCATCCTACATTGCTTACGATTTTACTCTACCGTATGAGAAAAGTAACTAAGATTTTTTTATATTCTGTAAATACAACTAAGTAAAAGACTTTTCATATACGAAAGAAATTCTATTCTATTCTAAATAAGAAAATATGCAAGACCATGAAAACTAATGCGATGATATTATTTAATGTATACAAGTGAACGATTATAACGGGAGTCCATCTGTTTGCTTCTCACGTTCCTACCGTGTTGTAAAATAATATTATGGGTTTCATTTTGGTAACAAAGATAATATTGTTTACTTCATAAGTAAATTTCAAAGGAGGTAACATTGAAAGTCATTTTTATTAACAAATTGTTCGGAAAATACCACACTGGAAAATTATGTATCCGTAAGACAAGACGTCTTTTGGGTTGTTACTAACTTTTGTCTAAATATTGACACCGATATTCGTTTCATTATTACTCTTTATCCTATCACAAGTCCACTGCAGAATATAGGCCTTATAGATAAATTGCCTTTTAGGAAGGATACTTGCCTTAGTTGCCACGCTTGGCAGGCGGGTTGGCAACTGCAGTAATTTTATTACTATTGCGTTTCTTTCTTCTTCTTCTGTCTGATGAAGCTGTAAAAGCCAGCTGACTAAAAGCACTTACTTCACAAAAAATAGAGAAAACCTAATCTGTAGGGCGGCCCCTACTAGATAGAGTGACAACCTGGTAAGACATGCAGGAAGTTGATGGATGCAGATGGTTCAGAACACGCTTAGTCACATTACTTGAGGAGCCCTGTGTTCAGCAGTGGATTTGTGAAGGGCTGTAAAGATCAGAGATGTAACTTATCTAAGATACAAGTATCTGAAATACAGATACAAGATACAAAATACGTATTTTCATCTTGTAACTATAAAAAAATACGTGTGGCACTCGGTGACTGCCGCGGTAAAGCTATTGCATAGCATTTTTTATCAACTTATGCAATTATAATTATTTATTTATTTTATTTATGCAGTTAAGTCTATGATATTAAATCAAGTTACACTTTTTGAGCGTGGTGACCGAAAGAAAACAATTTTTTTTCTCTTATTGAATAAATGAGAAGTTAATATTGTTTAAAATATTTTTAATATCTTACAATACATGTAGGTTATTCAGGAATTTTTATCATTGAGTTAGCAGCTAGTGTACACGCACACAAACACCGTGCCGAAGTCTGCCGAGTGCTGAAGTCTGCCGAACTAAAACGACGTTAGACGATGCACGGCTTTCAACGCCACACCTCCGTGCCCGTCGGAGTGGGGAGCGTGAGGTTTTTTTTTCGTTACGGAATTTCTGGATTCGGTCCCCGCGCTCAGGGCCCGCGATGGAAGCTATGCAATAGCTTAAAACTTTTTTTTTAAATTCATTTCGTATGTTGTATTTAAATACCTCTTAATAGATAACTGGTTCTATTGTGACATTAATTTTAATAGTCAATGTCGTCGTAGATAAAACTGAACGCGCAATTCAATCTTTAGTCTGGGGCCAAATTGATAGATTTAACGTAGCATTAAGCGTAGCAATTCTTTCTTTCTACGAAATGTCATCGGCTATGTCATTTTTAATTATTCCTCATAATAGTGTGTGTCTGTGTTTACCCGGAAAATCTGAAATACTGCGACTCTCTCCCAGATTTGATTGAATAAAACTTACATAGACGTTTCAAAAAGTATTTGCAGTTAGAGCCTGCAGCAAATGATGCAATATTGGCCTCAGTGTCACATCCGTTTTTAAAATGAGATGGGTATTAATAGCGCGGAAAGAATATGTAAAAGAACTTATCCTGACTAAAACACGAAAAATTAATCGAACTAAAAAACCAAAATCGGAGGCTTTAGACAATATTAAAGGAAATACATAGAAAAGTCAAACTATGAATCTTATTACTTGTTTTTAGAGGATTTTGAGTCCTCTATTGCAAGTGCCGAAACACAGGATCCACTGGCAGCACCGCTGACTTCGAAACATTGCAATACTTAAGTAATGACGATAACAACACAAAGAGCTTAATGCTTATCCAACAATAAAAAAATATTTTTCAAATACAACACCTCTTTGCCCAGTTCTATCCCTATGGAGCGACTTTTCTCATTTGGGGGCATGATGATGATGAGGGCATGAGGTCTCATCGAAGAAAATGAGTGATAAACTGTTTGAAGAATTGATTTTACTTAAGTCTCAATTAAAACTTTAAATATATATATATATATATATATATATATATATATATATATATATATATATATATATATATATATATATATTGTATTAAGTTTGCGCGATCAACGCGATTTACATTTAAAAAATTAATAATATTTCTTACAAAAGTATTTTGTCTATAAAAAGTATTCAAAAGATACGTATTTTGTATCTACTATTTCAGATACCATTCGAGAAAGTTATTTGCATCTGGTATCTGAAATACTTAATTCAAAAGTATTTTGTATTCCGGATACTTTATTTAAGGTATCTTGTACATCACTGCTAATGATGATGATTACGATTAATTGGCAGCTCTAGGAACTACCGATCTAAATACTTGAAACTGGTCTCTGTTTATATATTATAGTCAATATATTTTAAATTGCTTATTCCGTAACCTATAAAAAATTCTATTTCTAATAAATAAAAAATAATATAAAATGTTATATTTTATAAATCACTATCAATCAATCGTTAGGGTGATTTCTGGTTCTCGAAAACAGCGCCACCTACCGCGTCCAATAGTGAGTCTAAGCCTTTCTCGAATAAATTCAGTCACGCACACAAAATTTCACCATAAACACGGACAGAAGATTTATGTATCTAGGTATAAGGACTATATTGAATATTATTTTTTTTTATTGAAGAGGGGGCAAATGAGCATGCGGCTCACCTGATGTTAAGTGCCTACTGCCGCCCATGATCAACCGCAACACCAGGAGAATTGCAGGTGCGTTGCCGGCCTTTTAGACAGGAGTAAGCTCTTTTCTTGAAGGTCCCCAGGAAAAATCGCCGGTGGTAAACTATTCCACAGAGAGGTCGTACGCGGAAGAAAACTCCTTGTGAAACGTACAAATGTTCACACCCGTGCCTAAATTCTTCAAGAGATATCTAAAATGAATTGCATAACCAAAGTAGGAAGTTGTAAAGTGCCACCAAACTAGTTCATCGCTTGTCTCAGTGGAAATCTCAGTAGAAGTTGGTGCATACTTTCATGAACTATGCGGACATGTTAACGTGCCTTAAATATCGCAGAACTTTTAAACTATATTCTACATCGGTTCCAAATTATAACTTACGTACGTAAC